GTGCGACAGATGAAGCCCTGACCGCAGTAAAAAATCTGCGTCGCGACCTTCCAAAGTCAGGCGTGGAATGTGTTTTCCTCCATGGGTCATTGGAGCTTCTGCGATGTTTCTTGTGTGGTCGAGTATGCTCGTGGGACGACGACGAACGCCAGCTTGAGACAATGTCAGGCCAGCAGCCTGAATGCCCTCACTGTGTAGGCGCTACGGTTGCCCGAGAAGAACGCGGCAAGCGAGCACTGGGTGTCGGAAAGTTAAGGCCCGACATTGTGCTCTACGGCGAGGAGCATCCCAATGCGCACCTCATCAGCCCCATTGTGACACACGACTTGGCTCTCTGTCCCGACCTCCTATTAATCCTTGGTACTAGTTTGCGAGTCCATGGGCTGAAGGTTATGGTCAGAGAATTCGCCAAGGCAGTCCACGCAAAGGGTGGTAAAGTCGTCTTCGTTAACTACACCAAGCCCCCAGAGAGTTCATGGGGTGACGTTATTGACTATTGGGTTGAGTGGGACTGCGACGCCTGGGTATCTGATTTACAAGGCAAAATCCCCAAGCTATGGCAAACGCCCGAGCCTCCCAAACTTAAGAAGAAGCGGGAGTCTAGTGGTGTTGCCGAGGACGCTGAAAAGACGGAGACGAAACGCCCTGTTGCAGCTTACCCAGTTGCCCTCCGTGATACAAAAGCTACGGGAGCATATTGGAGCTCGAGAATAGTAAAGGAACTGCACAGAATCACTGGCCACGGTCCCCTAGAATCACCAGTTTTTACACCACCGGCCATTGTCACCACAACAGAGACGCTACCACCTGCCGACGCGCCTCTGAAGCCACCCCAAGGCAAACCTGATAGGGTCAGAACTAGAGCCCAGCGGTCGCGCAAATCTGCACCAGGTGTTCTGGAGCGAGCCAGCATGCCTCCCTCGACACTCAACCCCAATCATGGGCGAACTCTACGAAGTGCCGAGACAAGAGCACACCTCTTGGGCGATGAGATGGCGCCTCCGAATGAAATCATTACACCTGAAAGGGTGCTTCTCCACGGAAGCTCGATAGCCAGTCTAGTCAAGTCGAGAGCACGAGAGCGCAAGCGCAAGAAGATTGATGGTGAGGAAGTGTCTCTTCCCTCCAAGCGAACACTAGGTTCACTACGACTGGCTCCATTGAGGCCTCAGCCATCAGATCCCCGCGATATCATACCTTTCGACCGACTGCCAACAATGGAACTCCCTCCAGATACCCCGGAACCATTCACAGAAACTGGGCAATTGCAATCTATCTCACCAGTGATGCATCATACGGAACCGTTAATGCCTGTTTCGCATAACACGCGAAAGCAGACACATATCCGACGTAGCCAGGCATCTTTCATGCGCGGCCAGGATCTCGCTGCAAGTCCGGCGCCGCCTATACTGCCACCAGAGATGTCGCATGGACTGTTGGTGTCTTCGCATGACCGGTGCAACCTCGTTATGAAACATGTTCGCTCACAAAGGGAGGCGGATGCAGCTTTGGCGCTATCTGCGCTGAGCCAGGGCGATGCACGCCCAGTCATCGCCAAAGAATTCTCCATACCACCGTGTACGGGCGTCGGGATACGAAAGTCGGCAAGGTTGATTCACAGGTCTGGCACGCCTACGAGCACTTAGGGCAGAGGTTGTTGTCTTAGGACGGACAATTGCAAAGTTCATATACAAAGAGTCGCAGATTAGCGAGAACATCAGGGCCCAGATCCCTCGGAGCATTTATGACAAGGCGTTGGGGATGGCGGATAAGCCAAGTAGCATTACACTACAATTGATTGAATGAAAGTTGACTTTCTTTTTCCAAGACTCACTACTCACATGCTGATTAATTGTTCGCCGCGATCGGCGCATGCCAAGGTGACTCTTGAAGAATTGGAGACCCTCCCCAAGCTCTGGGTATCTCGTTTAACTGGCGTTGAGCATTCTGAATGACTCCTGTTGCTCGCCGAAGAGCGCCTTACCACGCCCTGATGCGGGTACCCACGGGGTCGGTCTCGGGTCTGGCGACTAAGGGCGTCGTTGACGTTGAAGATGTGGGGTATTCAGCTCGTACTAGACAGTATCATTTGACTCATGATAGCATGAGCCGAGAATGTATAAGTTGTCGTGTCAAGCCCATCATAGACAACGTTCAATGGGATGAACGTTCAGCCATTGTCTAGCTTCTAACTATACAAGACACACATCATCATCATGGGTTCTATTGGTCAAGGATCTTCGCAGCAGCTTCCTGTGCGGGGCAAGACTAACACCTCAGTCTTTGGGAGCGCTATCAAGAAGGAGTTTCTGTTTGATCCAGAATGGAGAAATCTTAATCACGGTATGAAAGAGTCCAAGCGGGAGTGAGACCTCAAACTGACAGGAGTTATAGGTTCCTTCGGTACATATCCTCAGGCTGTCCGAACAAAATTCCGCGAGTATCAGGATGCGAGGTAAAGACATTCGATCGCCTGATACTGATCTTTGGTCTAATAATTGTTAGTGAAGCTCGTCCTGATCCATTCATTCGCTATGAATATCCAAAAATCCTCGATGAGAACCGCGCTGCTGTCGCAAAGCTTCTCAATGCCCCAGTGGACAGCGTTGTGTTTGTCTCCAATGCCACTACCGGCGTTAACACAGTGTATCGAAACATGAAGTGGAATGAAGACGGAAAGGACGTCATCATCAGCTTCTCGACCATCTACGAAGCTTGCGGCAAGGTCGCGGATTATTATGTTGACTACTATAACGGAAAAGTGGCTCATCGTGAGATCGAGCTCACATATCCTCTAGACGACGACGAGATCATCAAGAAGTTTGAAGATACTGTCAAGAAGATCGAGTCTGAGGGTAAGCGGGTTCGTATCTGTACGTTTGATGTCGTCTCCTCTCGACCAGGTGTTGTATTCCCTTGGGAAGAAATGATCAAGGCTTGTCGCCGTCTCAACGTGCTGAGCATGGTTGATGGCGCTCAGGGCATCGGGATGGTGAAGTTGGACATCTCCGCCGCCGACCCAGACTTCTTCGTGTCCAACTGTCACAAGTGGCTTCACGTACCACGTGGATGCGCCGTCTTCTACGTGCCTCAGCGCAACCAGGCACTTATTCAAACGACACTCGCGACCAGCCACGGGTACGTGCCCAAGCTGGTGAAACGCATCACACCGCTCCCTCCCAGCTCCAAATATCCCTTCGTCATCAACTTTGAGTTTGTCGGCACGCTTGACAACTCGCCCTATCTTTGTGTAAAAGACGCTATCAAATGGCGAGAGGAAGTTCTCGGCGGAGAAGATGCCATCTTGGAGTATATCTGGGACTTGAACAAGAAAGGCAGCGAGCTAGTAGCTGAGAAGCTAGGCACGACATACATGGAGAACAGCACAGGCACGTTGCGAAATTGTGGTATGGCCAACATTGCGTTGCCCGTTTGGACTGTGGAGGGTAAAGAGGGTGAGGTTGTCATCTCAGCGGAGGAGACACAGACGGCGTTCCAGTGGATTCTGAATACGCTCATTGGTGATTACAAGACGTTTGTGGCGCTGTTTCTCCATGGGGGAAGGTTTTGGATCAGGACGAGTGCGCAGGTTTATTTGGAGATTGGGGATTATGAGTGGTTGGGTGGTGTGTTGAAGGGGGTTTGTGAGAGGGTTGGTAAGAAGGAGTATCTCAAGTAGAGTGATAGGAACTAGGTGCTTAGGGAAATGTTAGTGGCAGATGAGACTAATTCAGCAGGCTTTGATATCATGAGGTACTACAGATATAATCTAGGTGTACTCAGTACCAAATTGCAAACGATCAGGAATCTTCCCGTGAAGCAGTTGCTTCTGTAAGCGTTGCAATGTTAAAGAGCCCCTAGAGAGAAAAGCTTCAGACTTTGCAAACAGACGTAGAAGAACCCCATAAAAGAGCCCTGCATTGCACTTTTATCACTTAGTACGGTCTTTAATCCTATTGACTCGGCTAGAGTGTGTTGGTAGTCTAGATATGATGAAGGATGAAGAATCGAGGCGAAGTTTTGCTGGATCAGGATAGGATAACTCGATCCCGGCAAAACTTTGCCTTGATCTTGTACGCCCTGCAGATATTCGCAGCCCAGATCGGGTATACGGAATGACAGGCAGGGATCTGTGGGGGCTGAGGACGTCAATCAATCGCCCTGTTTGTATGAATACGCTGTACGCCTCGTGACGCTAGGCACTCAGCTTCCAGCGGCCAATCGCCCCAGCAATTCTATAAATACGGATGTTCTAGAAGCTCACCTGCCAAGAAGTTACCATCTTTACCACTCCACAGCAAGCCATCTTCTCTGCAAAGAACACGATCTCGAATAAATTCAGAAGCTTCCTTATCAACAATACCAACATGGGCAACTCGTCGTCGTCATCATCAAATCCCTCCGAGGAAGCCAAGGACAAGAAGACGCTGTATGAGCGCTTCCAAGACGGCAAAAAGAGTGTACCACTCAGCGACGAAGATATACTCAAGTACACGGGCAAGACTCGCGATGAGCTCAGCACTTGGGCTGATACTCAACCCGGCGTCGGGAAGAATCAACTTGCGGGTAGCGTAACAGCTGGACCGATTTCTGGGCTTGGAGGAGTTGCCATGGCCGATGGCCTTGGAGGCTGGGGACCGAGTTCGCATCCGAATGATAAGAACAGGGGAATGAAGTTCCCTCCTACGAGGGAGAATGAGGCCGAGGACACTACTGAGGTTACAGAAGTGGTGGAGGATAAGAAGTGATGGTGTTACACAAGCGGACGGAATGATGATATCACGACAGCGAGATTAATGACATTGCAGGCAATTATTCAATTTAGTGTTGCTTTACTTGGCTTCTCTTCTGAGTAACATTCGACTTTGGGTTCATGTTTTCCAAATTCCAGTCGCTCAGACTAAATGAATGACAAGGTTCCATGCCTCGAATGAGAGACGAGGTCCAGGATCCTGAATTCACATATTCCATTTCCTAGCTATGGCCTTCGGTGACGTCTCTTACAGATCATTCTGCTTCTTGCGAGTGTCGAAGATCTTGAGAGCTTCCTCGGCAGCCTTGAGACCACTGAGAGCCATGGCACCGAATGTAGGACCTAATGTATGTTAGATGAAGTGAATTACCACAATTGACATATTCAACTCACCCATGCGGTTGGCACCATCAACCTCGGAAAGTTCCATTCCACCAACAATAAGACCAGGAACAATCTCGCGGGTTCCCTTGACAATGGCATCCTCGGCGAGGTTCATGTCAAGACCACGCATACCACCAAGCTTCTCAATGCGCTGCATGCTGACGAGGCGCTTGACACAGAAAGCTCCCATGGGGCCATCGTGGCCAGTGGTGGAGATGATCAAAGGAGCGTTAATAGTGTTGGGGTCCATGCAAGACTGATCATCGTGGTGCATGGAAACAAGAGTCCAGTTGGTGACGACACCGGCAATGCGGACTCCCTCCTCGGAAGGTCGGGTGATTAGATCCTCAACACAAGTGGCATTGAAGAGCTTGATGTTGGGCATCTGAAGAACCTTGGACATGATGGTCGAGGTGAAGAGGGCGGCGTGCTTGACAACGACGTAGTTGCCCTCATCTTCATAAGGAACACCGACCTCGCGGAGGAAAGCATCAGCAGGCTTGCGCATGATCATGGCGGAGAAGAGCTGTCCACCGAGCCAAGCACCACCACCAGGAGACACAGAAGCCTCGATAATGGCGATCTTGAGATCGGGACGCTTCTTGCCAAGGATGTAGGCAGCGCTGAGACCGCACGAACCAGCACCAATGATAACAATGTCAGACTCGGCATAGTTATCAAGGTCCTGGAAGTAGCGACGGGTCATAGCGCGGGAGACCTGGCTCTCACGGATGGGAGCAAACTTGAAGTCATCCCACTGACCGAGCATCTCCTCAACGGTCTTGGTGTTGATGTTCTTGCTCATGACGGGGAGCTTGGTAGATGTAGCAAGCTCTGCAGAGCGAGAGGGAGGGGAGACAGCAGCGGGAGGGGCCATTTTGATCTTGGGCCTGTTGTTGTTAGAGTCTAGTGGTCAATGGGGGAGATGACATGATCCTTTCGCTGGTATTATCCAGATCAAGTTTTGCCGTATAATCTCAGCCACATCCCCCTATCATCAACACGACCAGTCTGGACTGGTCATGTTGATGAGAAAAGAATGGGCACCGGCTCATGCATGATACTTTACCTGAGAGGTCCCAATCAGGTCTGGACAAGACTACCGCTGAAAGGCTCCATGGCTGCTAAGGTAGCTTAGGAGGGCCGTACAGGTTATGATATCTAGCATATCATATGTGTCAGAGCAGCCCTTTCATACAAGTTAGATACAAACCTTGGGTTTTCTTCGAGTTTCTTGGGTCGAGCCGATGAATGGATGAAGAGGAAAGGAAGAAGAGTTGGGAATGGAACGACCTTGACCTTTTTATGCCCGCAGGTGAGGGGTAAAAGTAGCCCGTTGATATCATGACGGAGCAAAGCGGCCGATGCTGGCCAACAGAATGCAATGCCGAGTATTACCTACTGCAGACGCGTGTTTTTGATAGGTGAGTGTGTGGGGGTCTCTTGTTAAGTCGAAGATGACTGCCGGGGTTGCACATCATGAGCAATATCCCCTCCATCATATCATGTATCATGATGTCAACTCAGTCACCTCAATTGGCTTTCGATTCATCCCCAATCACTCATCTCGCACCTACTGGCTAATAAAGTACCTCATACAATAGAAATATTGAGCAAAATGCAAAGACAATTGCAGCTGTTGAGCATGTGAATGTCCTTCGAGGTGGGGGGGATCATCAGTTCCACTGAATGCGGCTTTTAACCGGCCATGACATGACAGAATGAACATGTCAACAACCCACTCCTCTTTAACTTTGTTGCTGCATCGGAGGTGTAATGCCGAGTCGAATGGTTCTTTGGTCAGCCAATCACCAAGTGTGTAATTATCTAGCTCATTGGCGAGGTTCAGGGTTCCAGTGCTGACACGGCACTGAGCTGCATCACCAAATAATCTGACAAGACCAGGATGGCAGAGTTCATGATATGAAGTTAGGGTCGGCTGTATGAGCTGAATACGTATTGAATGAGTGCAAAGTACCACGATTTATCGTAAACATTCACAAGCAGTCTTGGTTTCTCTTGACTTGCATCGTTACATCCATGAGCGATATGTATATCACCATGCACAGGGGAGACATCGGCTGTATTCATTTGCCTCGCAACAGGTGGCATGATCTTTCTCCAAGCGAGCCGACTGCACTCATAACTACCCTCGCCTTGCAGCTTGGATATCTGATAGCATTCATATTACCATACTGCATTTCGTCCAGATAAGAGTGCCATCGACATGGCTAACAGGAAACGTCGAAGGAGTAGTTATATCTGCCAATTCCACTTTTCAACATGTAGTGTCCGCAGTACTCCGTGGCCTTAATCGTCAACTTCTTATTCTCCTCCTTCATTTCCATTCTGCAGTCGCACATTGCGAGTACCAGTACGCACAGCTTGGCATCGTTTCGAACTCCCGTGAGGCTCAGCATTTCGTACTCCAATTGATGGATGATGCTCAGATTAGAATTGTCGTATATTGGCAGAGTTCCTCTAGGAATAGATACAACAAGCTTGTGCTCGGGGAATTTGAGCAGTGGCGATATGGATCGTCTTTCGATCTCGAGGCTGTCGCCCTCGAAGCAGGCCAGGATTCTGTATTCCATGTAGTTGACGCCATCTTGAACGAGCAGTTCTCCACGACAATTATCAAGGTTCTGTCGCAGGCGGCTGTTTTAGTTCGGGTCTTGAAGGGCTACAAGACGCTGTGCGATGTTGTTTGCATCGTAGACTCCAGACAAGTCTTTCAACCAAACCGCAACAATCATGATTCCCTTGCCCCTCTCTCGATAAGGTGTTTCCTCCAGTTTAAAGCCCTCTCCCATGATCTGAAGAATGAGACGAATGGTGTTCTAATAGACTCCCAAGATAGATGGTCCTCAGCGGCCTGCCAGAAGTTTTCGTCAGATATGTAACAACAAGGTCGAATACTGTTGAAGCTGATGGAGTGCTGGCTAGCAAAGTCACAGTTCTTGTCGTGGCATTCTACGCGAAATCCTATCAGTGCATCTATGGCCTCTGGCCATTTGCGCGGGTAGCTCATGTTGGAGAAAGGAGGTTATTGCTTTGGCTTCGGTTGTGAGTGTTGATCGTTTTCAAGTTATCATTTATGGGGAGAAAAGAGAACTTCATCTGTTAGGTTAGGAGGTTCGCACAGCACCGGTGACTCTGCAGGACGTAATGACACAATCACGTGGTTTTGTTAATAACCAACAGGTCAATGAAAACAAATTTATTTATAAAAACGAGCCTTCCAAGGGTAATATATATATATTTCGAGAAGTTGGATAAGTGACTTCATCAACTTCTAGTGAATATCAACGGCAAGGTAGAAACTCATCAACTTTGGCACCAGATTTGTATAACACGTCAGAAGCTTTAATACAACGACAATTTGTTATCCAAGTGTTCGTTTCATTTGACAATTTCATGCCTGATACCATGGGCTCCCGCAGCTAGACGTTCTCATGTTTCTAAAGCTAATGGCATCTTCATTTCCTCCATGTTTGGCATAGTTCAGGATATCGATCCCGACAGAGCTGTCTCCTCAAAGCTACTAGGATATGAATGACTTATCAGATGCTGGAGTTCATGCAGTGGTCGAGAACGAATGCAATGGTCTTCATTTATGACAACATGAGGCTCGATTACATATCACAGTGTCACTCAGTGATCCATTAGTTGTCTTGACTCGACATCAATTGCAGTAGCTACATTTCATCTTGTGTTTTATATGTAGCACAATTCTTCTTCTATCAATACAGCCGGCCATCGCTATACAAGCTGTTCTTTATTGTTCCATCTTCTCCAAGTGTTGGCCGGTTGTGTTGAGTGATGTTGCATCATTCCATCCTCTAGTTCGAAATGGCACTCTTGATAACCATTGCGAAAGATCATCTTCTGTTATCCCATCTCTAAGAGGACGTCCACAGATTGCCCGAACAAGAAGGTGATACTGCTCGTAAACCAGAATTTCGGTACGGCGAGATAGCTCAGACGCCAACTCTTTAGTAATTTCACCTTTTCCGATAACGCCTTCCAGCTCAACTTCTGCAGACATCAACTCAGACAAGAGCTTTGGCTTCTCAATGGTAAGTTCTGATATCAGTATCGGCTCAGCTTTGCTATCCTTTCCTCCAAAAGTTGCAAGTATCCTATTTTCGGATGCTGGGATGCCATCCGTAATAAAGATCTCGTCATTATGGAAATACAGCTGTCTTGTTTCCTCGTCGGGTGTGGCTGGGCAGTCCACATAGCCCAGGGACTTTGCAATACTTTCCGCATCATAAACTGCTCGGTCTTTCAACCAGATTGCTATAATCAGGACGCGGGAAGCTGCCTTTTTGATCAAATAGTCTCGTTGTTCGATGGCGCTCTCCCAGGATCGAAAAAGCGAGGTGAAGGGGCTCGGGGCTTGTTTTCGGGATAGATGATTTGCGGCGGCTTCTATGAAGTCATGTTCGTTGTCGGGTGTGTTGCATTCAGTGGTTAAGCTACTACTGCCCTTCGTTCCCAGCTGTGTCTGCTGTTTGCTGGCATATCTAGGGTCAGAGTCGTGGCATTCCACACGAAAACCGATTAGCACACTAATGGGCTCTATGGGATCAAGGTGAGGCGTCATCGTTAAAGTGTGAGGGCTTCCTTCTGCATGTTGTCTCATGTTTCTTCTCAGGCTCTCTGAAGAGACCCGGACTATTTATATGGCAGATTAAAGGCATTCACTTAATACAAAACAGGCACCAAGAAGTATTAACCTACTAAGATCCAAACTTGAACCTGGAAGTGACTGATGCATATGAACACGGAGGAGGCGAGGGTATAGTTTACCCAGCCTTTGTAGGTCATCTACTCACAGCTTGAAATGATGCACACTTAGTTCGCAGCAAGTACATATGAGTAAGGAAATCAGAAATATGCGCATCTCCTTTATAAGAGTTGAGTATTATAAAGAGGAAAATATGTAGTGTTTGGCAAAGGCTCGGGTTGTAAGTTAGGCAAAACAGTAGGGTTTTGATCTTGAGCTCCAGCCTATCAAACAGTGAGATAGTGACGGGAAGGTCTTACCAGAGGCCTTCACTATCTTTCCCTAAGACTGTTGTACAGTTTGAGTTACCATTTAGCTTTAATTCTCGCGTAATGTCCAGGCCAGGGGTCATGTGAAGGAGAGTTCCAAGAGGCACCAGACATTCACTCATAACTAAATCGCAAGACCAAGCTGTACCTCTCATAGGCAACAGCCTTATGACTAAGACTAACTTAGTACTAGTCATTTGTTGATACTTTATGTGCCGCCTAGTTTAAGAATGGTAAAGGGACTTGTATTCACTCCGACCCAGACTTCAATCCTGTGAAGCAGTACCTGGAAGATTGCGGTAAAGGGGTTTTTATAGCTGCCGAAGGGCAACCCAAGATTCACCTCTTTCTTTCTTTCTTTAATGATAACTCTTTCATCTATGTTTGTGTCGCGTCATACCAGCCTCATTGCTTGTTCATGCGAGCTTCAGCTCATGGCTTCACAGATGTCAGGGTTGCAACAGAGGTCAAGTGAGAACACACAAGGGTTAATATCGATAGACCAAAACGGTATTCTTGAGTCATATTATCAAGTTAACTCTTTAGTTTACAGGCATTAAAGTGTTGCACAAAGTCTGTTGTGAACCAGAGCCTGTCAGTTTAGGTAATTACTCTCCAGTCATGGAGAGCAAACATGCAACAATGGGGCAAACTCTACACGTACTGCACTGATGATATTACGTCTAAAAATATGTTGGATTACATCTCTTTCTTCTTTTTTGTCTGTCAAGAGTATAAATTACGCATAAGAAAGCTCATATCGACGATGTCCTTCTTTAGAACCTACCCTATTGCAAGAGCAAGTCAGACAAATGT